CTTTTCTCTCTTTAAACTCTCAAAGTTCAAACCTTCGTAGAAAAATAAGTCCAGGATTATAGAAGGAAACCAAAGGAGTGCAAAACGTTTCGCCGACGTTGTTGTGTTTGTCGTGGAGAAAACTGCTAGCATCGAAGATTTATGTATATTTGACAAACTGAACGCATTCTGTGCTGTACAGAAGACACACGGAGGAGATTGATTGACAATGGTCTACAGCCAATCAGGACGCAGATCACAATGCACTGTTAAATAAACATAACAAAACAAAACATGGAAAATTGCACTAAAAAATAGAGATGGACCGATCCAATATTACGTATCGGTATCGGTCCGATACTGACCTAAATTACTGGATCGGATATCAGAGAGAAATAAAAAATGTAGTCCAATCCGAAGAATCACAAAATCACCTCACAAAACGCGCTACTTGGCGTAACCCAGCTCAGCGCATCGGAGCAGTACGTGTCACATGATAGAGCGACTGTTGGCGGTCTGTTGGAGCATTTGGAGCCTGGCTACATGCTTCCTAACCGCGGCATTTCATCTCGGCAAAAACTATCCCAGAGAAGTAAAGCAAGTGTGTAAGTTCATCCCTGAATGTTTGCAGAGTATTTCCACGTTAAGCTTAACAACCGATATGTTGAGCCACAGCTGGACTGGTCATCTGAGTTCCATATTGAGGTGATAAGGAAGCAATTTGTCCCGTACTTCAGCTAGAATTAAAAAATAGACACAAAGCTGGAATTATTTTGTGTTTGCTGCTCAGTTGCATCTACTTCTTTCATTCACTCCCCCTTCCTCTCCTGTTATTACTTCAAACATGAAACTGATCAATGATCAGCTGATCGGCTTTTCTGCCGCAAGTCCTGTCTTTCTTGTTTGTATCAGGTATAGCAGTATAGCTTCAGTGTCTTGTTTTTTTAAACTTGAGTATGAACTTATACAAAATACAGCAAGATATTTATAAAAAGAAGTTTTATTGATTACAAAATACACTGTATCGGATTCATATGGGTATCGGCAGATATCCAAATTTATGATATTGGAATCGGTATCGTGCCATCTCTACTAAAAAACTCAGCGAAACAGCGAGGCTGCGAAAGGTGAACCGTGTTATAGCGAGGGACCACTGTATCTGTGAGAGAACATCAGCTAAACATGTTCAGGTAGACCTGACATCAAGTCTGGTTTTTAGTGGGAACACAAAATCTTCCAAATGTTGCAACTAAACTAAAAAGGTTTAGTTGTGCTTAAATGTTGCATGCATGCATTAATTGGAACGTGCATGGTGCAATAAATAAACCGTGACACAAACATGTAGAAACCTGGGAGGATGTAGTCCTCGAGCATACACGAGTACAAACGGACAATATTTGTTTGGACGTGTCCATCGCAGCGAGGAGAGGAAGTGCAACGCAGAGTGCTCGTTTCTAAAAAGTAATCGATGACAGAACCTTCAG